TTTGTGAGGTTACGTTTTTTTTTTTTTTTGAATGACTGGCGTTGAAAAGATGCACTCCCTCCGCCGGTGATGGTTCTTGGCGATACGAGGCGTGGCGACGGAGCGACGGCCCAGGGACCTGTTTTCTTTTCTGCTTACCACTCTTGCCGCGCGCGCAACGCAACATCCCGTGAGGACGCTCGAAGGGCGTGTGAAGAATTTCCTGGACGGTGATGGAGGTGCGTGCCACCTTTTTTTTTTGCTGTTGTTTGTTGTTTGTCTTTTCCTTTTCTTCAGGTCGAGTTCAATTGGCGGGCGGTGTCACCTGCGGGCGGCGAATGTGTTTTTGTCTCTGGAGTGGAGCTGCGCGGCGGCCACTGGCCTCTTCTCGCTTTGCTCTCATTATTTCTGTTGTTCACTAGGGTCTTTTGGTCGCTTGTTTCTTCTCCTTTTTTGTGTGTTTTCAAGTGGATGGGGCGGCTTCGGACGGCGTGGGTGGCGCGTGAGTCCTTGCGGGAGCTGAATTTTTTTTTGCGTCAACGAGCCTGGCACTTCACTGCGAGCGGCAATTATGCTATTGCAGCGGATTACATTATTCGCCTTTTGAACCGTCGTCCGAGGGATCCTGCAGGGCTTCTTTTAGGCGAGGTGGCTGCAAGGTTTTCAAAGCAGGATGTGTTTGTTGCGAAGTGCAGGGAGGCGCAGCAGCGTCTGTGCGCGCAGAGGGGCGTCGCAGATGCACTGCAGCTTGTGGCTGAGGAGGCAGAGCGGGAGAAGTTGCGTGCATTGCTGGCGAAGGCGCGGGAGGCACCGGAGGTTGTGGGTGCTGCTGAGGAGCAAATCGTTGTTTTGGAAACGGAACCTTTTGTGGAAACGCAAGGCGCTGTGCGCACCATGGCGCAGCGCGCGGGGGGTTCGCCTCTTGTGGAGCTGCAACAGCCGAAGCAAAGTGTCTACGGCCGGGGGATTTATGCCCTGACGCGTATATCGTCTGGCACGCCAGTGATGGTCGACCAGCCATTTTTTGTGCAGCGGATGCGGGGTGACGTCTGTGCGCACTGCCTGGCCACGCTTGGTAGGAGCGGTGGTGCCACACGTGGTGTGCCGTGTGGGCATTGCAACCGGGAGACGTATTGCAGCGTGGCCTGTCGAGATGCGGCGTGGCGCGAGTACCACGTCTGCGCCTGTAGCTCCCGCAACAAAATGTACGCCGCGTGGGAGGATGCGATGCGTGAGCGGTTGCTGTCGGATGACATGGAGGGGTCGCGTGCGGCCCTTGCCTGTCTTGCCGTGGCCAAACTCTGCGCCCTGTCGACGGTGCAGCAGGTGCACCCACTCGCGTTGCCGCGACTCCGCTCTCTGCGGGGGCGCGCGGACTACGACGCGGCCACAGCCCTCACTGAGGTTGGCGCACTTGCCGTGGCGCTGGCGACGGCGCTCCGCCAGACGCATCTTTACATGGAGGAGGTGCTGTCGCTTTTTGCGATTGTGCAGACAAATGAGTTTGTGCTTCCAAGCGGCACAGCCCTGTACCATGGTTACTCACTTCTCAACCACAGCTGCGAGCCAAACTGTGCGCTAGTTGGTTCCGACGCAGCCAACCGTCGTCTCGTGACACTGCGGGATGTGAAGGAGGGGGAGCAGTTGTTTATTAATTATAACGCCAGCCTCACGACGCGTGCGTCGTACGCCGACCGACGTGCACTTTGTCAGCAACGGCACTTTGAGTGCTTCTGCCTTAAGTGTGTCCGGCGGGAGTGAGGGCGCAACACTCTTTTCGCCCTTTTCATTCTGTGTCTTGTAGATGGTGGCCGTTCTGCGTGTTGCAGCGTCTCAGGCGCGACTTTTGCCGTGATGGCAGTGCAGATGGGGAACACATGAACGAAACGAAAATGACGCAACAGGGAGTTGAAAAATGGAAAGAGACGTCGACGTCAGTGCAACGGTCATCCGTTGAAATTTAACTGATCGTACCAACTAATTCTGGTTGAGTACTGGAGAGGACGTGTGTGGGGGGTGGGTGAGGTGGGGGAGTGCGTGACGGTGGGCCACTACGGTGTCTGTAGCGTACGAGCATGCCTGCTTGCATGCACACTTGTGTCTTTGGTATGACGCAGAGAGGTTGTGGAAGCTGCCGATTATTATTATTTTTGTCTCTTTCTTTGGAGGACCTTTGCGCGCTATTTGAACCTTTGCACCTCATTTTTTTTCTTTTTGTTCTTGATGGTTGCTGTAGCTTTTGCCCGTGTGCCCTGCCGGGATTGACACTTTGCCCGCCAGTTAACGCATGATGCGTTTTTCTGCGATGGCGCGCTGCGCTTCGGCCGGCGGCAGCCTCAGCGCCCGCTTAGCGGAGTTGGCGCAGCGCGTCGAGGGGTACCTCGCGTCTCGCAGCACGGCGGCCACGGCCCACGACGATGGCCTCTGGGAGCAGGTGTTGTCTACCGCTCACTGCGCTCGGTCCCTTAAGGAGACGGACACGGCGTTGGCCATCGTGTTTCGCCTTTTGCGCTGCGGCTGTCGCCCGTCATGCGGCGCTGTGTGGCCGGGGCTCATTCGTGACCTAGCTCCGTACAGCGACATTGAGGCCAACGCTGTCCTCTCCTACCCTGGTGTGCCGGAAGGGTCTGATGGCGGGAGCGAGGCCGCCCCCGCGCAGCCTGCTAGAGAGCCCAGGGAGATGCCTGCTGTGGGATCTGAGTTGGATATGGCAGACATCCCTCCACTGCTGCGTCCCACACGTGCGACTTTGTTGATGACGGGTGGCGTTGTGCCGCTAAGCGCGCGGGTGCCTTGCAGTGACGGTGGGGCACTTAGCGCTTTACTCGAGGCGTTTTGTAGCGCGTATGACGCATCGGACGGCAGTGGCGACGGTGACAATGCGCCGACTGTCGCGCATTTACAGGAGGTGTCAGCTGCTGTTGTGTCTGCACTGCAGCCGATCACCGCGACGCTTCTCTTGACAGAGTTGAGTCCACTGGCGAGGGCGCTCGTGCGTTTTTTTCGGCTTCTTTTTGAATTCTCCACGCGGCAGTCAGTGAAAGAGCCGCACCTCGCGGAGCAATTCGCGAAGAAGCTGACAAAACTGCTGCCGGATAACGCGCTGGGGGCGCGAATAGTGCTACTTTTTCTCGCCGAGCGACACGCGGAGTTTGGCGACGAAATGATGCACCTGCCGCTAGTACGCCTCGCCGCGAGAGGGGTTTGGCGTCACTATGAGAAGCATGAAAGTTTTTCGTGTCTGCGACACCTGCGGCAGGTGAACGAGGCGGTGGATGTCACGCTGCAGCGGAATGCGAACGGTGGAAACCCGCTTGCGGTGGATGAGGCAGACGAGGCGGCACTTCGATTGTTGTTGTCCCTTGCGTTGCTCCGAGCCATGCGTGTGGAGGCCATATCCCCTGACGTTTTTTTAGGCGATGCCGTTGACATTGTGGATCGCACTCCCATGACACTTTCTATAGAGTACGAGCTGATTGTAGCCAAGGTGCAGCTGCTGGACTTATTCCTCGACGACGCGGCAAGCTCAGGTGCTATCTATGACGATTTGCTGCAGTCGTTGCGTGCCCTTGTGGAGCTTCGCCCGCGAGAGAATGTCGACGGCGACACATCTGCCACCACGGACGTGACGACGCAAGAAATGAAAGGGGAGGAAGAGGAGGAAGAAGAAGCGAGGACGTTGGCACGGCAACACTTTCAGGAGGCGCATCGTCTTGTGCTGACGGCCTTCGCCCGCTCCCAGGTGGAGGAGCGCCTGAACCAGGCCTACTCCATCCTGGTGACCCACAAGTACCATGGCCTGATAATCGCCAAGGACGCGGTTAATCCGCTCTTGGACGCCCTTAGCCGCCGTGGAGATTGTCGAGTTTTCAACATCGTCGATCTATGTGTCTTGTATAGCGGCAGCCACATTGACTACGACACTCTCACCTACCTTTTTAGGGCTTGCCGTGTGGCCGGTGACTTCTACCGCGCCCGCACTCTGTATCAGCTACTGCGAGAGATGATACCAGGGTTTCTACTGCGGGCACCGGAGGCCATCAAAGACGCTTTGCAGGAGCTGAAGATACTGCAACCGGAGCCGGCCCATTTGTTTCCCGCATCTCTTGCGGTAGATGGGGACGAGGCGGCTGCGGCTGTGTCGTATGAAGGTGTCCTGGCTGACGAGGCATTGGCCACACGCCAACGAGGGCCTATTCGAGAATTGCCAACAAGGCGCACCGAGGCACCTTCTTGAAGCTTCCGCCCGCTCCCTCCTTTTTTTTTTGTTTGTGTGTGTGTGTGTGTACGGGACATGTGTGGAATAATGCACCTACAGGGACACATTACTAAATAAATGTCACTTTTGTTTTCTGGCTTGCTTGCAGCTTCACGAGCGCATGTATGTATGCTTTCTTTTCCGTTTCTTTTTCTCTTCTACTGTTTTCCCGACTCTTGTGTGTGCGTGTGTGCATCCGGGATGATGATTGCATGACACAGGAAACTGTGCGTCTTCGTGTGTGAGGGGGGGGGGAAAACAAGTCTGATTGGGAGGGAAATCACGAGAAGTAGCAAGCAAGAGACGTGTTGAGTAGCTATTGACAGCTCACAAAGCACAAGAGGGAAAACACAAGTAAGACATGTGTGATGATCCTAATGGAACCCGTTGGTCGAAGTCCGAGAATAACATCGGCAAATCGATGCTGAAGCGGTCAGGCTGGACGGAGGGCAGCGGCCTGGGACGGAACCAGGAGGGCGTAGCGAGTCACATCAAGACGCGGCGGAAGGACGGCGTGATGGGGGTCGGCTACGAGGGCGGCGTGCAGGAGGCGTGGAGCACGCAGTCGGTGGGGTTTGCCGACGTTCTCTCACGCATCAAGAGCGCCGTCACCTCTGGCTCCTCCGACAGCGAGAAGGATACCGATGCCGATGCGGAAAAGATCATTTCGGGCCCAAGTGGTGGGCGGCACTGCGGCATGTACGCCAAGCGGCACGCGCTTAAAACTGAGCTTTTGCGGTCAAAGGACGGGGCCTCTGCAGAGGAAATCCTCGGAAGCGCCAGCTCCTCCCGCAAGCGGGCACGCGATGGGGACAAAGAGAGCGAGGAGGACGCCGCCCTCTTGTCCACACTTCGCTCTCCGCTGCTGCAGCGCGTGATGGTGCGGGTGCCGAGACACGAGCCGCACCTGCCAACGAAGGACGACGGGGAGAAGGTCGATGTGGTGCGCATCACAAAACCGCAACCGCGACCGCCAAAGTGCAGCGATACACCGTTTTTAGCCTCAAACGAGTAGCCCGCGCGATGGGAGCAGAGGGATCGGCGGGCGGTGGACGCCGCCCGGCGGGTTGGGCGAACATGCCAAACGACATATTAAATGAGTTGGAGGCGAAACGGCGAGGAGTAAATAACAACTCGGTGAGATAACGGCCCACCCGGAGAGAACGAGAGAAAGAATAATGTGTTCATTTTATCACTAACTGTGTGTTTACTATCACCCTTCACTTTATGTTCTTTTTTTTTTTGCCTTTTCTCTCTGTGCCTGCCTTGGGATCTCTGCCCCGTGCTGCCGCCACCATTTTTTTTTTTTTTTCCTTTTGCGTTTACTTCCTCATCTGCTCCGCTTGGCTCAAAACAACCGGAAATAGTCCTGTGCAATTAAGAAGAAGCGAAAAGGACTTCGTTTTCTACGCGTACTTTGTCCCAATTCATAGAATCATAAAATCATACAGTTACCGGTGTTTCTTAGACGTCTTGAAGACTGTAGAGACCAACGTGATACAATTTTGTGCCGCGCTTGACGAGGATCTGCCGCAGGCCTGTTACTTTATATACCAGTACTGACGCATATAGAAACACATATAATATAACCCTTGTGGGTATTCTGCGCGCACACACACACACGCACACACATTGCAGCGACAGAAGTAGCAGCAAGAGGGGCGACAGTGAAATAGTTTTTCTCTTGTTTCTTTTTCAGTGTGCGTGCTGTGAACACTTCTAATGACGGAGAAGGTGAGCGTTGCGGCTCGTATTCGGCCCTTGCCATGTCCAAATAGCATGCTTGCCACTGCGCCGCTCGACGAGAGGCGCGTCTGCGTCGCAAATCGCCGCGTCTATCATGTGGATCGTGTGTACGACCGCCATGAGTCCACGGATGTGATCTTTTTTGAAAGTGTGGTGACGCTTGTGGACCGGTTCCTCGCCGGCTACAACGCCACCGTTCTCGCCTACGGACAGACGGGCACAGGAAAAACCTACACGATGGACGGTCTCACCCCGCTTGTGGTGCGCTACATCGTGGATAGCATGTCAAACTCCACTTCCAAGCTTAGCTTTCAGTGCGTCGAGGTGTATGGGGAGGCGCTGCGGGACCTCCTCACGAGCGACCCCACCGTCTCGTCAAAGCACCTGCAGCTGCACGAGAGCGACGGCGACGGGGGTGCGGTGGTGGTGGTTGGCGCCTCGCGGGTGAAGGCTCGCAACATCGCCGAGGTGCAAGACATCATTAACCACGGCTCCCGCATGCGTACGACGGGGGCGACGAACGTGCACGAGCACTCCTCACGCAGCCACAGCATTTTTACGATTTTTAACCATGAGCGACAGTCGAAGCTAAACCTCGTCGACCTGGCGGGGTCGGAGCGCAACAAAAAGACGCAGAATGTGGGGCAGCGCTTCCGCGAGAGTATCGCCATCAACGGTGGGTTGTTGGCACTTGGAAACGTCATCCGTGCGCTCAGCCGAAATCACTTTCAGTTCCCTGACAATCCTCGTCATGTGCCGTACCGCAGCAGCAAACTGACACGTCTGCTTCGGGACTCACTTGGTGGGAACAGCAGCACGCTCCTTATTGCATGCGTCGCCGCGGATGTGGCCAACAGCGATGAGACGACGCGGACGCTACAGTACGGTGCCCTCGCCATGCACATCCTGAACGAGCCACTGCCGCAGTTTGACGAGCAGGTAGCGGCGGCTGTGGCGGCAGTGAGGGAAGCTAACGCCAGCCATGGCCATGGATCTACCGCGAGGACCAGCGGCGGCGGCGGCGGCGGCGAGACGCCTCCGTCGGCGCCAGCAGAGGTGGCGTGGCTGCGGCAGAGAGTTGTGGGACTTGAAGAGCAGGTGCAACGGTGCCGCGACGAGCTTAAGAACGATGAGGCGGTCTTTGCGCAGCAGATCAAAGATATGCGATTGCTGCTGGAGGAGAATGAATCGCTGAGGCGACGCGTGGCGTTTCTTGAGGGCCGTCCCACTGCCACACCGCGATCAACGCCAGACGTGAGGCATGGCTGCTGGCAGCAACCTCAACCGCAGCAACAGTACACTTCTGCGCCGCTTTTGCCCAATGTGGACTACGTCCAGAGTACCTTGCAGCTTTACGGCATTTCGCCTCAGGAAAATGGGCACGAAATTTATTCTCATTCTGCGCCCCAGCCAATTCAAGCTGTGTGGGGAGAAGAAACGACGATGAGGAAACGCGAAGGACATTTACAAAACGAGCTCTTAAAGAGGCCAGTTGATGCTGCTAGGTGGGACGAGGCTGCCGCGGCGGTGACTGCAGCAGACAGGTGCAATTACGCTAACGTAAATGGGGAAGCCTGTGGTGAGGGTGCTAGGCCATTGACGATGAGTGAAGACCAACTTGGCCTTCTGGCGAAGGAGGCACTTTACTATCAAAACAGTAATAGCGAATTACGACGCCGTCTTCGTACGGTGCTTGCGATGTACGAGGCGCAGCAACGCGAGGCGGCCATGCTACGTTTGGAAGTTAAACAGATTCATGACTTACTTGACGGTCCACCCCACTCTTGACAGATGTCGTTGCTTACTACAAAGCACATGTAGTTGTTTGATGTGAACTTTGTCATGCTGCATCGGTACAGAGTTATGTGCGTGTGACAGTTGTTGTTGACCTTGCATGTCTTTATTTTATTTTTGACACACAGGCGCGACATTTTTTTTTTTTTTCACACTTCCACTCTGCTTTTCTCACGGCTTATATTGTTTCGTTGCATTGTTCAACCGCCTTCTCCCCCGTTTGGGCGACAGTTCTTTTCCCCCTCTCCCCATCCCCTGCTCTACTGGCTGTGCGTGCGACTGGGGCATTATTGGTTGCAAGGCATAAGATTTTATGCATGTTGTGTGGTGTTTTCTTCCATGACTGCTCCTATCTCTTTCCCTTGTTCTTTTTTTTTTTTTTGGGGTGGGGGTGGGGGTGGGGGGGTTCTCTCCTTTTTTTTTGCTCAGCGTAGGTTGCTCATATATTGTTGAGTTCTGCGTGGGTGCGTTCGTTGGTATTTTGGTGGCATGGCGGAGGCAGAAGGCACCGGACCCACCGCTTCACCCACTTTGAAGCGTGCTGAGCTGGCAGTGTTGGTTCCGCGTGGTACCGGGGCCACTGCGATGGAGTCCTTGCGGCGCCGCTACGTGCAGGCAGAGCTGCAGCTGCGTGAAACGGAAGATCGCTTCCGCCGTGACTGTGCCAGGCAGGAACAGGAGCTGGAGCTGCTGCGCATTGAGAATAACAAGTACAAGGCGAAAATAGAAGAAATGCGCATGACAGAGACGATGCCGCAGGAGATGATACATCACACGCTTGTTTCTGGCGCGGAATCCAAACTGCTCAAGGCGTCCTCGCGCAGGTACTGCATGGCGCGTGAGGCAGTTGAGCGCTCCCGAGACGAATTAAATGAAATCAGAGCACGAGTCGCCTCTACGCGCCAACGCATTTATGACACAAATCGAAAGATGGCTGGCACCCACACACGTGGTTCTCTTCCCAGCAAGCCACCATATAATAACTGCGCTGAAACTGTTCTACAAACGCAGGCCTCGCGTTCACAACTCCGCGGGCTGGAGGCGCATGTGGAGTTGGAGACGGATCGTCGCGCAGACTTTATCGAAGAGGTGAAGAATCTGCGGAAGGAGATTGATGTGCTGCTGACGCTGCAGAGGAGAACCCGCGATGTTTTCCGTGATCGCGAGCGTGAGATGTTAGAGGTCGTGAAGGAAAGCTCCTTTCTTATTGAAGTCTGCAACGTCCTCTTTGAGGAACGCGACGCCTGCCAGCAGCAGCTGGTGGAGCTTCAACAGGCCTTCGAGGCGGATAACGAGGCCTATGAAAAGACATTTCAAGACATTGTTGGGGTGGAGGAACGTGACAAAACAGTGAAGGGCAAACTGCGCGAGAACATCGCCAAACTGGAAAAGGAAATGCGGCAAGTTGTCACTGAGCGAGAAGCGGTGGAGCGTGTCTTAGACGCGGATGACACCGCACTCCGCAAATCCACAATGGGGACCACCGGCCACGAAAACGACAGCGACATAGACAGCACAGGTGTTTCCCTGCAGCTGGCAGAGTTCGAACGCTACATTGGCCGGCTTGCGGAAATTGCCGGTTCTGAGAGTCTTCCTGATATAGAACGTTATATATGCGAGGGGGGTGAGCAGCGGCTTAAGCTGTACTCCCTGCTTCACCGCACGCAAGATGCTGTTGCCGCCCTTACTCAGGAAAAGGAGACATTACAGCAGGCACGTCTGCTTGCTACAGACGGCCCCATGGCCGGACAAAGCGCTCGGGAGGAAATGGAGAGTCTGCAATCACAGCTGGTTCAGATACAACGTGACACGCTTGATCATGAGCAACAGGCAGAGTTTGTGCGGTCGCAACTTGATGCCGTTCTATCAGAGGTGCAGTCAATTTTCAATGCGCTGGGATGCGACGATCGCTTCATCATTGATCGGCACGGCGTGTCTGTTCTTTCCCGTGGCACGGTGAATTTGTTTCTTGCCGCCATTGAGCAGCGTCTGGAGGAGTACGTGGCAGTATGGATGCGGCAACATCAGCCATTGCAGACTTTGCCCCCGGCTGTGGGTTTTGATGCGGTGGGGCCAAAGCTCACTGCACTGGTGAGCACATCAACGCTTATGGCAGCAACGCCGCCACACATGCTTCCCTCCACGCACGAGCCCGATACGGTTGGGCACGACAAGAATCTAACACCAGATCTAAATCGCGGTGAGGCGACGCCAGATATCAGACTGCCTATATAGAGGGGAATGGCCGGGAAAAAAGGTGGCACAGGTGTACAATTAGCATCATGCGTAAGAGAGGAGAGAGACAAAAGGAAATGACGTAACATCTTACCTACTTACCCACTCACGTACTTAAATAACAAGCAAATAAGAATAAGAACGAAAAGAAAAATACACTGAAAATAAATAAACGCAGTCAACCATTTTATCTTCTGAGTGCCCTTGCAATTCTTGTAGAAGTCTGAGAGAAAAGAGCGGGGCGTGTAGGGGGTGGGAGTGGCGTTGGTGGACTCCTTTTTGTTCCAACACATTTATTTGTGTTGTGCTGTCGGTTTTGCTGCATGTGTAGAGTGCTCATTGTGTATGACCCACACACATGCATGCATCCGTACATCCGCATGGTCGCAACCTGCAGATGTTTTTTTTTGTTTTGTTTTTGCCTTTGCGCATGCTATTGGTGGTTTAATGGATGCGTGTGGACGGTATGTGTGATTTTTTTTCGTTTTTGTTTTTGTTTTGCTTTAGTTTCTCGTCACTTCGAGGAAGAGATGGTGGTGGTGTATGTGTATGCGCGTGTGTGTGTTTATGTGAGGACTCTGTGAGCATGCGCCTCCATCCGAGTCGCATACCGTTTAGAGAAGAGTTCGTGAAAGTTGGTATCTGTGTATTTCTAGGCTTTCAGTCATGCTTGGCTGCGGCATATATGTTGATTATTCTCGCTGCTCCGTTCATTTCCTTTCTGCATGTCGATTTGCTTGTGTCTTCCGTCTCTTGTCGAGGGAGTGTTTTTGTTGCCAATACAGCTGCTCATCTTCCATGTGGGCTTTTTTTTTTCTCTCTCTTTTTTTTTTGTGTGCGTGCGTTTTGTCAGTGGCGCAGCTTCACGGGTGGGTTGTATTCCACCATCCCCTTCATTTCTTTACTGAGGGGCACCGCAGGCGGCACATTTTTTCTTATTGTGTTGTCTCACCTTCTCTGCTCTCTTTTGTCGCGGCGTGACGCATGCAGACGGTGGACACGACATCGTGCGCACCCCGGGCGCCGCAGACGGCGGCGGCGGCATCGAGGAACGAGTCACCGAAGTGGGCCTCGTCGCTGCTGCAGCAACGCCTGGGAGATTGCGGTGTGTTTCGCAACGAGGCATCGCATTGCGCCAGGGCCATCCTGCACTCCGAGGCGGCTCGCGCGGATGGCAAACTCTGCGACGATGTTGGCGCCGTGTTGGCAGGCAACGCCGTTTACATCCGCCGCTGTGTGTGCGACGAGGAGGACATGCGGATTTACGACAGGCTCAAGGCGGAAATCGTCGCTGCGACAGGGGCGAACATGTGTGACGGTGGGCGCATTGAGTGGAGCCGTCACGAGATATTTGAGAACCCGATGGGGATCAGTGTGACGTTCAACGACGTTATAGCCATGCTGGCGGAGTACTTTGATCTGGATGTGTACGCCACGCGACTGAATTACTACCGCGACGGGCAGCAGTGGAAGCCACAGCACCACGACAGCCATGCGTACGGCGCTCACACCACTTCCACGGGTGAGCGAGTACGTGAGGACTTCACGGTGGGCATCACGCTTGGGGCGACGCGCAGCCTTCTCTTTGTGCACGAAGCCTCTGGCCGCCAGTTTGATTTCCCACAGCGCAACGGCGACTGCTTTGCTTTCACCGGGGAGGTAAACAACACCTTTACGCACGGAGTGCCGCGCGTGAGCACGCCGATTGGCGACCGCTTTAGCATCATTGCTTGGGGGCGGCGACGCGCGGTGAATGAACGTAACGGTGGTCGAGCGGTGGCATTTTCAGACGTTTGGCTTAAAGACGGCAGTGAAGTTCGCACCGTCGATGACGCCATACTGGCCGCTCATCAACTTGTCTCCCGCGCATCTGCGTCCGTTAAACCGACTGTGGCACCAACGCCTTCGATGCGAGTGAACATGACAGACGGGAACAACCATAAACATGGCGCCAATGATAGTGGCAGCGTGTCTGCGAAGAGAAAGAAGAAGAATCGACTTCAGTGAATAGCTGAAGGGAGAAAGGATACGCACGGCTGAAGAGAGGGAGGGAGTGGTGCATGTATATATATATATATATATACATGCAGCATATAATACATCAGTGATGTGGGTTTCAGCAACGCGTCTACTTTCATTAAACATAGAGCTGTGCTGTACTGATGCATTGTGCGGGTACATCTGCATGTGTTGGAATCCCAAGCGTTGTGTGGCCATACACGTGTGTGCACCATGCTGTGGTTGGCATTTCCTTCGACTTCATCTTTTTTTGTATTGGCGGTCTCTGGACCACGAAGGAAGTAACTTATAAAATAAAAACAAATCTACCAACACCATGGCCGACATGCGCATGACGGAGCGTCCGGGATTCACAGGGAAACTTAATGAAAAAATCTTGGCGCGAGTTCGTTTCCTGGCGAAAGAGCTGCAGATACCTGACCTTGAGGCTAAGTTTCCCCACTTGAAGGTATCGGACGGCTCCTGGCGTCCACTGCTTCCCGGTGATGATGTGAACCTAGCCGCCTACATTGATCACACAGAGCTTAAGCCGGAGGCAACGCAGGCGGCCATTGCACAACTCTGCGAAGAGGCAAAGCAACACAAATTCTGTGCTGTGTGTGTGAACGGTTCTCGCGTGAAGCTTTCTGTGGAAAAGCTGCGTGGCACAGGCGTCAAAACTGGCGCTACATGCGGCTTTCCGCTTGGTGCCTGCGCTACGGCAACGAAGGTTGTGGAGGCGAAGACGATGGTGGAGGAAGGCGCAGAGGACATGGACATGGTGCTGAATGTTGGCGCACTGAAGGACAAAAACTTTCGTTTTGTGCTGGAGGACATTAGGGCCGTCCTCGCCGTTTGCCCTCCGCATGTGACGACAAAGGTGATTTTTGAAACTTGCCTTCTGACGGAGGAGGAGATTATCGATTCCGCCATTATAAGCGTCGCTGCGGGCGCGACTTTTGTGAAGACGTCCACCGGGTTCAACAGGGGTGGTGGAGCCACGCCGGAGGCCATTGACATCATGCTCGCCGTTGTTGGCACGGCCGCGAAGGTGAAGGCGAGTGGCGGCGTGCGGGATTGGTCAACAGCGCTGCAATACGTGAAGGTCGGCGTCGCCCGCCTTGGCACCAGCAGCGGCATCGCCATCGTCACGTGCAAGTGAATGCTGGACATTGAACTTTCCGCCGGCAACGCCTGCGACAACGGCAAGTAAATAATATAAATAGGCACTGAAAATAATATGAGAGAGCCAACCGCGGAATGTGGCACGTGTTCAGGCGGAGCAATAGGTACGGAAGACGAAAGAAGCGAGGAAAGGTAAATAATTTAACAAATGGAACACACGGGTGGCACCCCCGCACCCCTCCAGCCATTTAAAAAAAAAAAAGAGGAGTGCGTTCGGCGTGGCAATAACAGAGGCTAAAACAAAAGAAGATGGGATATTATTGGGGCGAGGGGGGAGAGAAAACAAAGAAAAAAAAAGACGCTGTGGGGTGGATAGCTTGAGAGGGTCTACTACACACATATATGCAACGAGTTCACCTACGATCTTGCAATTCTGCCCTTCGTTTTTTTTTTTTTTCTTGGCGTGCTTGACGCATTCGTAGCAGTCGCACCCACGCCCCCCACAGTTACCGTCGGTGTACTTCGTTCAACCTGTTGACGGAGGGCCAGTCCCACACGCACCTCCCCTTCAGAGCAGGTGGGGTGTTGGTGAATGGTGGCACGTGGCTTTGGAAAGAAAGAAAGAAAGAAAAAATATGCTATCGAACCCTTCTCGCAAGGAAAATAAGACATCATCGTCTCTCTCTGCGAGAACAATCCCGGAGTATTCTCAGAAACAACGACACTTGTCGCCTAGTAACGGCATGCCAATTCGCCGCGGTGCGAGGGACGCTGAAAGCGACGATGGTGACTGCAACGATACCGTGAGGACGGATAAGGAGGAGGAGGAGGAGGACCTCCGACCCCACCCCTCACCCGCAAAGCACTGGACAGAGTGGGCTCCGCGGCTCTCCTCAAGCTCCACTGCATCTCTCTACATTCCTTCGTCTGGACTGTCAGAGGCATCAATACCACACGGAAAGCTGGCGTCCACAGAGCGTGAATTAGAGTGTACCAAGGAGTTGTTGCTGCAATATAAGCATTACGTGGAACGGCGCTTGTTTCTGCACATTCAGAAAATAGAGAAGGAATGTGCAAAACACAGTGAGCTATGCAAACGTCTGAAACGCGACAATGCGTTGCTTCTGGAAGAGCTTGAGCGGTATCGTGCGTCGAGGACATCGATGGCAGTACCTTTTTTGTCCAATGGGATTGAGCGTCAACCACACTCACCCCCGTTGGGGTATTTGTGTCAAGCTGCATCCGTTTCTTACCCATCACCGCTGGCGCCACCACCGCCGCCGTTACCAAAGAGTGAGGATTCAGCGAAAGAGATGCTACATATGCTGCGAAGCCATGAATCAAGACTCCTAGGGCAGCTTAAAGAGGAGAGGACTGCACGTGAACGGCTGGAGGTGGAACATGCCGCTGCGGTGCGACAGTTGCAGGAGCAGGTGGCAGAGCTGGAGGGGAAGATGCGTGTGGGCATCGATGCGGTCACCATTCAGACCCTCCGTAAGGTTCTGGCACGGCGGGACGACGAGATCCGTAAGCTACGGAAGCTGCATGGCTTCTCTATTGTGGAGGCGTTGGAGGAAGGCAGTCCACAGGACTTTGAAAACAGCTTTATAGCTGAATTGAGGCTAGCAGCGAGGGATGCTGTAGAGTTCGTCGCCGCCATGACTGCAACAACCACCGACATGGGTGATACTTGCAGAACCGACCTTCATTTGAAGGAGGTTGAGGATTTGTGGGGGGAGGTGCTTCGTGTCACCGCCTCTCCTCCAGATGACTCGTCCAAGCTGCCGCAGCAGCTATGGCCATTGATGGACATAGGAAAGTCGCTGCGTTGCGCCATAGTGGCGGAGCACAATCAGCTGGCTCTCTTTGTGGGACAACTACTTCAGGGAATGGAAGAGGTGCGAGGCACCCTCGCACGAGAGCAGCAGGAGCGGCAGGTGGATGGAGATCGTCTACGCGCAATGCAAGCTGAAAGCACTGCGTTGGTGCAGCGGTTGCCACAGGAGTTGGGCGAGACGGCACAGTGCTCCCCATCGAGGGTGGCCCAAACTGAGGCGGCTGAGTTGCACAAGAGACAGCATTCTGTGTCGCCGACTGTCACGCGAAGTTCTGACGTTGCCACACAAACGCTGCCTTCTGCTCAGCTTTCACACTTGCAAAACAGTGGGGCGACCAGTCTGCTTGTTCCTCACAACGCGGCCTACAAGCCAATATCAACTGATTTGGGACACCTCCTGCATGAAATGGAAGCCCTTGAGCGGGACAACGCCGCAAAATCTGCACTTATTGCCAAATTGCAACATCAGCGAGAACGTTTCTTGGGCGACGTGGATGCAGAGCTTGCGGTGAGTCTTCCTACAAGAAAAGCCATGACAAACTCCTTCGCTCAGTACCTTCTTGAGTGAAGCAGGGCAGTTTTCTGTTTTTGTTTGCGTGCCATGGGGAGAACTGGAGAAGGGTGACGTGTGTGGAGGTGTTCACTTTTTTTTTTTTGCCTTTGAGGGGCAGCTCTGTGTGGCAAAGTTTTCCGTGATGACTGGCGTCTGCTTTCACTTTTTTGCGTGCCTTGTTTCTTTGAGGGGTGTTGCGCCTTCTTGCTTTTTTTGATGTCATTGTTTTGTGTGTTTGCATCTCGCACGTAAGCACAGTCCCAAACGCTAACAACAAGTCACGCATTATGCTCCGTCTGCTTTGCTGCGCCCTGCTTTTTGTGCTATGCGGCGGCGGCGGCGTCCCCGTCATTGCTGTGCCGCACCGATGCGTGTTTGATAGCCTGCCCCGGAACGTTCCCGGCGTGACTCCCGAGGGGGAACCGGTGAGTCCTGTCCGTGTGTCGGTGGGCAGTGACTGGGTGCCCATCCGCATCCGGGTGTTCACAGACAACCTGGAGGCG